ATTTATAGTCTTTGAGCCGTAACCTTCTTCTTCAATTCACACATATATACGTATATGTTGCTGCAAATTATGACTTGTGTGTCTCATGCATTTAATGCATCACATGCCTACTGCATATTCTTGACTTTGAAGCTACGTACCAGTTTCCAATTTCCCCAGTAGCACACTTTTCATTAGAAAGTACCCCAAGTCTTCACACATGAACCAATTAATCGTAAATTTACAATATTGGCCCTTGAACTTTGTCATTTATGGCTTCACTAGCCCAACAATCTCCCACTTGGAGACATAAATGACTTATTATTTTTTCTGCCATTCAAAAAACTTTGCAACATTCCTTAATCTCTCTCCATCTCTCTCTCTCTCTCTCTCTCTCTCTCTCTCGTTTTCTGCCATGCCTTTTCTCAAACTTCTGAAAGGCCAGTTGAAGCCATACAAAGCTTCAACTTTTCAGTGGTAACCACCTTGGTGAACATATCTGCTGGATTCTTCGTTCCAAGGATTTTCTTCAGATTTAGAGTTCCATCATTAATTAATTCTCGAATAAAATGGTACCTCATCTGAATGTGTTTCGTTCTACTATGAAACACTGGATTCTTTGCCAAGTAAACTGCACTCTGGTTGTCACAATGCAATACACAATCCTCCTGATGCATTCCAAGTTCTGATAGAAAGTTCTTCAACCATATAAGCTCTTTGGCTGCTTCTGCAATGGCCATATACTCTGCTTCTGTGGTTGAGAGAGCAACACTCTTTTGTAACCTGGACATCCAACTGATTGATGTACCTCCAATCATGAACACATAACCTGTTGTGCTCTTTCCTGAATCCACACATCCACCCAAATCAGCATCGGCGAACCCTTCTAAGATCACACCCTTTCTTCTGAAACATAAGGCAACCTCAGATGTTCTTTTCAAGTAGCGTAACAACCACTTTACTCCCTCCCAATGCTCTTTTCCTGGATTTGACATGAACCTGCTCACAACTCCCACTGCATGAGCAATGTCTGGTCTGGTGCATACCATAGCATACATCAAGCTACCAACTTCAGATGCGTAGGGAACTTTAGTCACCTGTTCCCTGTCTTCTTCCGTATTTGGGGATTGCTTCTTTGAGAGTCTCAACTGACTTCCCAAAGGTGTACTTCTGGCTTTAGCATCTGCCATGCTGAACTTTTCTAAAACTTTCTTGATGTACTTAGCTTGTGAAAGTTTTATTGTACAGATAACTCTGTTTCTGGCTATGCTCATGCCCAATATCTGCTTAGCAGCCCCTAGGTCCTTCATCTCAAACTCTCTGGACAACTGCTTCTTAAGCTTGTTGATCTCCTGCATGTCGGACCCAGCGATCAACATGTCATCAACGTATAATAACAAGATGATGTATGAGGAGTTGAATTTCTTCAAGTAACAACAGTGATCCATCTCACATCTGTTGTACCCACTCCTTTGCATGAAGCTATCAAACTTCAAGTACCACTGTCTTGGAGCTTGCTTCAATCCATACAGACTTTTCTTCAGTTTACACACCAGATTTTCCTTACCAATTGTAAGAAAACCCTCTGGTTGTGTCATGTAGATGTCTTCTTTCAGGTCACCATGGAGAAAAGCTGTCTTCACATCTAGCTGCTCTAGATGGAGATCTTCAGAGGCTACAATACCTAAGACCATTCTGATTGTAGTCATCTTTATAACTGGAGAGAAGATCTCATTGTAATCAACTCCTCTCTTTTGTTGAAACCCTTTTACTACCAACCTTGCTTTGTATCGTTTGGTGCCATCAATCTCATCTTTGACCCAAAACACCCATTTATTCTGCAGTGCTTTCTTCCCTTCTGGGAGCTTGACCAAGGACGAAATGTGGTTCTGGTCAAGTGAGCTCAACTCGTCTTCCATAGCCTTCTTCCACTGTATGGAATCTTTCATCCTCAAGGCCTCTGGATAAGACTCAGGTTCACCATTCTCTGTCAACAGCAAGTAATTAGCTGAAGGAGAATACCTAACTGGAGGTCTTCGTACTCTAGTGGATCTACGGATAATAGGAGTTTCGGTTTCTGCATCATCTGCAACCTCATCCTCTGAACTACTATCCACTGTGCTCCCACTATCTTTAGATACATCGGAGCTCCCACTGCTTCCTGAACTTTCACCTATCTCTGGAGTACTAACAGGTTTTACAACGTCATCATCTGAGATTTCTTCTAACTCAACTTGATCCTTCTTTTCTGGTTGCTTGTCGCTATTGGAGCTCTTTGCAAGTTCATCCTTGTATAGAGCATTCTCGTTGAACACCACATCCCGACTTCTGATAACCTTCTTATTCTCATTATCCCAGAAGCGGTACCCCATGTCATCCAACCCGTAACCTATAAAGGTGCACTTCCTTGCCTTTGCCTCTAGCTTGTCTCTCTCTGAGTCTTTAACTTTGACATACGAGACACAACCAAATACCTTCAAGTGTTTGAGCGAAATCTCCCGACCTTGCCATTCCTCTTCTGGAATCTTGAACCCTATGGGGACTGAGGGTCCTCTGTTGATTAAATATGCAGCTGTGTTGACCGAATCTGCCCAGAACATCTTGGGTAAACCTGCATGTAGTCTCATGCTTTTAGCCCTCTCGTTCAATGTTCGGTTCATCCTTTCTGCTACTCCATTTTGCTGAGGTGTCTCCGGAACCGTCTTCTGCATTTTGATTCCTTGGTCAGCACAATAATCAACAAATTCTTTGCTACTGTATTCGCCCCCATTGTCTGATCTGAAACACTTGATTTTCAAGTTTGTTTCATTCTCTACAATAGCTTTCCATTTCTTGAATGTGCTGAAAACTTCACACTTATGCTTCAAGAAATAAACCCAAACTTTCCTTGTGCAGTCGTCAATGAAAGTAACGTAATATCGAGACCCTCCCACTGAAGAAACCGAAGTGGGACCATAAACATCTGAATGAACTAACTCCAACTTTCTGGACTTGGGCGGATGACCTATATTTGTGAAAGTAACTTTCTTCTGTTTACCCAGAATACACGGCTCACAGAAGTCAACTGTCACAGTCTTCAGATCTGGTATTCTTCCTTTGGAGGCTAGCATCTTCATTCCTTTCTCACTCATATGGCCAAGTCTTTGGTGCCATAGAGTGGATATCCCAACTTCTTCAATAGCATGTACTTCAGCATCAGAAACTTCCACCATATATAGTGTACCCCGCTTCTGACCTCTAGCAACAACTAAGTTTCCCTTTGTCACTTTCCACTGATGATCACCAAATGTAACATGGTGACCTTCATCTTCAAGCTGCCCCACAGATATTAATATCCTCTTCAAGTTTGGAATAAACTTGACATTCTTCAAAGTCCACTTCGTACCCAAAGTTGTCTTGAGGACCACATCCCCAACTCCAGTAATATCCAGGCTCTTGTTATCTGCTAATCTAACTTTCCCTTTATACTGCTTGAAATTATGCATTACTTCTTTGGAATGACTAGCATGAAACGACGCACCAGAATCCATGATCCAAGATTCAGTTGAGTTTTCGACACAACAAATGAGCGCATCATCAACAGAATCTACTGCCATATTTACTTCCTTCTTGCCTTTATCTGCCGAAGGCTTTGGGCACTGATTTCTGAAATGACCTTTCTCATTACAGTTCCAACAGGTAATATCTTTCCTGTTCTTCGACTGACCTCTCTTTTTTGACTTCGATCTTCCTCTACCACCACCTCCTCTGTTGGTCTTTCTTCCTCTGCCTTCAGTAGTTAGAAGATTACTGGAAGCTTCTCCGACACTCCTTCTGCGCACATCCTCACCAAGGATTAAATCACGAATACCTTCGAATGATAGCTTGGCACCTCCGGCTGAATTGCTAACGGCCGTCACTGTGCCGGACCAACTATCGGGTAACGATGATAATAGTAGCAACGCCATGACTTCATCTTCAAATCCAATATCAACAGATATCAATCTTGATATTATTGAGTTGAATTCGTTCACGTGGTCTGTTACTGAGCTACCCTCCTTCATCTTCAGATTTATAAGCTGCCGAATCAAGAAAACCTTATTTGCCGCCGAAGGTTTTTCGTACATATTAGACAGCGCATTTATCAGATTGTAGGTTGTCTTCACATTGACAATATTGTAAGCTACATTCTTTGCCAATGACAACCTTATCACTCCGAGTGCCTGCCGATCTAATAAGTCCCACTCCTCCTGCGTCATTGCTTCTGGTTTGTCTTTGGACAAAGGTTGGTGTAACTTCTTCTGGTAGAGATAATCTTCGATTTGCATTTTCCAGAAACCGAAATCTTGACCATCAAATTTTTCGATCTTAACTTTCCCATCTTCAGCCATAGCTCTGATACCAGTTTGTTGGGAATATACCAAACAAGTTAAGCACTTCGAACAAAACGATTAACGATTTCGGTAACACTCACGGAATAAAAACTACTGAAAAATTGCAAACGAAACTGAACACGATATTTAACGTGGTTCGGTATAATCTGACCTACATCCACAGGGGAACGAGAGAGAGGAGATTTTATTAACACCAATGAAATTACAATCATACAATGCTAAAATCTGCACTTGTAATCTGATCACTGACTGTAAGATATCACTCGTAATTTTTGGCTGCCAAAAATTAAGGCTCTGCACAAAAAATTAATAACTCACTAATTTATCTGTGTATCTACTCTCTATGATGTTATGGTTATTGTGTATCTAACAAATGAAGAGAAAATGAATATTTATAGTCTTTGAGCCGTAACCTTCTTCTTCAATTCACACATATATACGTATATGTTGCTGCAAATTATGACTTGTGTGTCATGCATTTAATGCATCACATGCCTACTGCATATTCTTGACTTTGAAGCTATGTACCAGTTTCCAATTTCCCCAGTAGCACACTTTTCATTAGAAAGTACTCCAAGTCTTCACACATGAACCAATTAATCGTAAATTTACAATATTGGCCCTTGAACTTTGTCATTTATGGCTTCACTAGCCCAACATGAACCCCCCTACATCATCAGACTCATAGCTGGCCACGTTCTTTGAAACGCATGTGTTGGACATTTGGTTGAGCGCCACCGCAAATGCCAAGTTTCCTATATCCACCGCCACCTTCTTCTGCCCAGACTGATGAAGAAACTCCACCATGCCCTCCACCACGCTCTGGCGAACGTCACGGAGGGTGTCAAGTTTGTGTTGGTGGGTGAGGGATATGTTGAGAGCTTTCCGCATGCTCCGCCACTCTTGGTTTGCAGAGATCCATAGGACCGCCGAGTCATGGTTATCCAAGGCGGTGACTGGGTCCGGGACAAATCGACTAGAGCATGCATCGTCGTTGTGTTGGAGGATTTCTCTGGCGGCGTTGGGTGTAGATGCCACCACGCTGGTGATGCTGCCTAATCGGATTGTCATGAGTGGGTTGTATTTGTGGGAGAGTTTGGCAAGAGACTCATGGGGTTTGGGTCCAATGTCAAGAAGGTTTCCGATGATGGGGAGGCCGGCAGGACCTGGCGGTAGTTTCCTTGCACGGTAGAGGCCAAGGCCATGGAGGAGGAAGAGAAAGGTAATGAAAGATATACCCAGAAATAGAAGTTCCATTGCTTCTTGTTTTGTGAATTATCCGAAGGTTATATCTATTTATATAACGATTGTTTGAAATTTGGTAGATAAAATCTGTGTATCTACCAAATTACAAAACTTCTTACGTTATAATGGCATGGACTCATGGTGCATTTTTAAATCAAGTCCTGTGTTTTCAATTTAAACACATTACTACACAAATGATTTGTTGATGTGGTTAAAATAATTGATTTGTTGATGCGGTTAAAATAATTATTTGATGCGGTTATTGAACCGTACTAACAAATATCGCATCAAAAAATACTCTCATTTAATGGTGAGGTTATAAAACCGCATCAAAAAATAGTCAAAACCGTACCAAAAAACAGTACAGGAAAATTAAAAACCGCACTATAAAATGATGAAAACCGCCCCAAAAAATGCAAACAGCACCAAAAAAAACTATCCCACCGGAAACCACCCTTAAACCACCATCATCTCTACCACCTATTTGTTGTCGATAAGACCATAACACAAGAATCACCAAGCCACACCACTTTTATCGCCATTAACCTCCGTCGAGCATCTCTATATTGACCTTATTTACAACCGAGCATAAACCACCAACAGTTGACACCATCGCCATCTGCCCTACCTTAGCCTGAAACCATCATTACAGCCACGAAGAACACCCAGCATATCTAGTTACCATCGTTTTTTTACAACCCTTACCATCTTCACTTCTTGAAAACAACTCCTAAATCTTCATGAGTCTGCTTCTCTTCTAGTTAAACATCTCGCCAACTCGGACCACCCTTATACCACCTGTCATCTCCAACAAGAGCCACCGAGAACACCGTCAATAGAGCCCCTGCCTTTGCGGAAAACCATCCACGCACCACCATCTCCTACATATTTCCGATCCATCACCCTTATTCCACCTTAAACAAATCAACTGTAAATCAGTAACAAAAAAAAGGAAGAACATCAATTAGTTTATCTGCTTGCTTGCCATCTCCACCACTAACCACTGCCACAAATGTCGTGTCTTTGCCGAGAACCATCCAAGCACCACCATCTCCAACATATTTCCGATCAACCAATTTATTTCATCTTAAACAAACCAAATGTTAATCAAAAAAGAAAATAAGGAAGAAGAAAAGAGATATGATTCTTGTGTTGTCTGTAAAAGGGGGAAAAACACACGCATGACACACATACTTTTAGAGAGAAATGAAAATATAGGAGGAAAACGAAAATATGAGAGGAAATGAAAATTTCGAGGGATCAACCAACTTGTAGCTTGCTTGAACATGAAATTTTTGAACGAAATTTGGAGGGATCTCGCAAAAGATGAAAATTTCGAATGAAATTTTTAGAGGAAAGATTAATGGTGCGGTTCATGTTTTTTAGTACGAATTGTTTTTTTGGTGCGGTTCAATGTTTTATAGTGTGAATTATTTTTTTGAGGCGGTTGTAATTGTTTTTTGGTGCGGTTTTCACGTTATTTTTTGGTGCGGTTTGGGAACCACATCAGAAAATTCTTTAATGGTGTGATTTTGGGAAACTGCACTAACAAAAGTATTTTTTGAGGCCGTTGTAATTGTTTTTTGGTGCAGTTTCTACATTATTTTTGGTGCGGTTATGGGAAACCATATCAGAAAATGCTTTAATGGTGCGATTTTGGTAAACCGCACTAACAAAACTATTTTATGGTGTGGTTCTCTTGTTTTTTTTATTATGTAGATATTTAATAAAACGGTTTTTTAGAAAGAAGCGCATCAAAAAAAAAAACTCACTCACACTATTAAATGACTTGTGTACTATTGACATGCATCGTCACTACAGTTTTGTTTTGCCACTTGCGTGGTCCACATTATTTTTGGTGCGGTTATGGGAAACCGCATCAGAAAATGCTTTAATGGTGCGATTTTGGTAAACCGCACTAACAAAGCTATTTTATGGTGTGGTTCTCTTGTTTTTTTATTTTTTATTATGTAGATATTTAATAAAACGGTTTTTTAGAAAGAACCGCATAAAAAAAAACCATTCGCACTATTAAATGACTTGTGTACTATTGACATGCATCGTCACTACAGTTTTGTTTTGCCACTTGCTTGGTCCCCTGCGCTCAACGCCGTTTGTCTTGCCCGGTTAAAACATATCATGTTCCAATTGCTTGGTCCGTGCGCTCAACGCCATTTGTCTTGCCAAGCATGCTTGGTCCCCTGCGCTCAACGCCGTTTGTCTTGCCCGGTTAAAACATATCATGTTCCAATTGCTTGGTCCCTGCGCTCAACGCCATTTGTCTTGCCAAGCACGTGACGGAAAATGAAGGATTCTAAATTCACTTACTTAAAACTAGTAATCACTTAGTCAAAACCACTAATACTAAAGTCAAATAATAAAATAAAATAAAAAATAGTAACCCAATCTCATATTTAATGAATAAAAGATTATAAAGGTTATACGGTCCTAGCGCTTTGCCTCAACTTTTTTTTTTATATCTTAATTAATTTTTATATAATGTTTATAATTCTATAATTTCAGTTTTTAATCCTTATTTTATATACTTTTTTATTTATATTATAATATCTAAATTATATTTTCTTATACTTAAGTTAAAAAATAGAATGGTTATAAACTATCATAATTGTTGTTTTTTATTTTTTGATTAGTTTCGTATTACTATATATTATTATTATTATTATTATTATTGATTATTGATTATTGATTATTGATTAAGCTCATATTAATTTTCGATTATACCTTAGGCGATATGTGGTCATCTCGGCTGCACATAGTTCCTTAATCTAGATAGACGATTTGTAAAATTATGATATTCATCATATGGCCGCGGCCTATTCTTTTTTTATTTTATTGTTATTAATGTTAAACAAAAAAACATATTAAAAAGGCAAAATTATCATCTTTTTTTTACCAAACACAAGTATTATAAATAAAAAAAATTATTTTCATTTACAACCATTTGGTCAAACACTCTCATATTTTAATTTTAATAGAAATACATTAATATTAACAATAAAATATGTATTATTAATAGTATAAATAAACTTTATTAATTATCAGAGACATCAATATGAATATTATAATTATTATGTCCCGCAATTCAATGGAATATACCTATTAAGTCAAGCATTATATAATATTTTCCATCAAATAGAACGTTCTGATATATTATTATGCCAAAGTGGCAAAATTTTAAGCATTGAATACGATTCTTGTAAATCAACTTTCACGTAATGGTCATTATGAACGTAGGCGATAACCATAAATCTATGATGTGAGATGTTTCGCGGACCATGCGAAAAAGGAAAACATATCGACGAACCTTGTTTGTCTAAAAAGTAGACGATTACACCATCTTGTTAGCAATGAGGAAACCAGTATCCGACATAATCATCCAATATTCATTTTAGGCTCCTTTGCCATCAAATGATCATAAGTAGCACGATTGATTTCTATGATCTTCTCTGTATTCAACTTGAAGTTGTAACACTCTAAATTTTCAAACAAATTTTTTTTTTCATTTTTTTTAAAGATTCACAAAACACAGTTTAACAGTTCTCATGCCAATTTGAAATTTTTCTCAAACACAAAACATAATAAATTGTTATCAAAATATCCTAGAATCCACATAAACTCAATCATCAAGTTGGTGTGTACAATCATGTTGGCGCCTTCCCGTGATCCTAAGATGTACCTGAAACACATTTACACCAACACTGTAAACACGAAGCTTTGTGAGTACCCCAAAATACCACATACACAAATAATTAGCCTCTCATGGCTATATCTCGATAAGGACCCTGCGGTCATGTGTCTCAGTGAAGACCTTCTGGTCTCACGTCTCGGTATGGACCTTCCGGTCGTAACTCAATATATACATAGAATAATATAACAGCATAAGTCACAAAGACAAGATGCATAATAACACATAACTCAGTATAAGCAAATAAGACCCTCCGGTCAATAACACACATAATACCCTCCGGTCAGTAACACGAACAAGACCCTCAGGTCACACATAGATTACCACTCAGGTAAGTATAGTGAGAAGACTCACCTCGTGAAGTAAAGCAAATAAATCATGCACCCGAACTGCCGGTCTAGATTGTGCCTAACATATGTCATATATACCTCTAATTAAAAATTGATATTAACAACCCTCAAATATGTTGGCTAAGTTTCTCTACCAACCTCAGAAGAGTAAAAGACAATTTTACCCCTCCATGGCCTCCAAAGTCCACAGTTTGACCAAAACCCTAAAAGTCAACACCCAGTGCGTACATTGGGCGTACAGCCCTCTACGTTGGGCGTACAACTGGTCATGCATAGATCGGGGTGGACTCAGCGCTACGATGCGCATAACTGGAGGTACGCACGGCGTACGTCCCAGACTCACTTTTCTTACTCTCTTGGTCTTAATCTGTTAAGACAATTGCTACAATCTCATATATGGGCTAACTAGAGCCTATTACTTCACAAAGTTGGTGACTTTAAGCCTTAGCATGGTTGGACAAGTCAAAAACTCATAAACTCTAATCCTTTACTTATAAAGGTCCACATATCTCATACATGGAGAGATCTTGACAACCAAGATCTCATTTTTATGAATCCAAACGACTAAAAACACCTAAAAGGATAGGTATTATGCTATGGAGTTCATCAAACTCATAAAGCTTCAAGCTTAGGACATAAAACCCTAAAAATGGACCAAAATATGAACTAATCAAAAAAATGAGAAAGTTTTGAGCTTGATACCTCTGGATGATGCACCTGTTGGATTAGGTGTCTAAGCTCATAACTATTTTGGTATGTACTTGACCTGATTATGAGCATGGTCCTTTTGGGTTGCCTTCACTCATGCAACTTGGTAGGATGACAAGAGGAGAGAGAGTAAAATTTATTATATGGATAATAAATTCATACTCAAAATGGTTTTATTAATATATTACAAGATTAATATATTATTTGGAAATATATTATTTAATTAGTATTGATCAGAAATTCATTTG